GCAGCTGGTGCTGCTTCTCATGCCATTGCAAACGGACTGACGAAGTATTACATATTTTTACAAGTTAACACTTGTAAATGGAAACACTTTGGGGTGGAAGGGGAGAACTAATATATTTGTGGAGGAAATTGAGAGGATGGGAACTCCTTGTTTCTGTGGGAGTAATATATATCTATATACATTGTCATTTTTATAGCCTTTAAATTTAGAATTTTTAGGTTAAACCAGAATTTAAACTTACAGCCCCTCTGAATAGGAGAACCTAAGAATCTGTTGTTATCAAAATAGATTTTTTTTAAACATGGTTAAACGCGTGGACTTTTTCTTAGTTTTTATTGGAAATTAATTAATCTATAACTTTGGATAAAATTCAGTTGAGGTTAGAAAAGATTGCATTACAATGGCTCTTCAATAAAATTAAATAGTATTTAAAACAAAGTTAATTATTTCATACTCAGATTTTTGATAACATGGTTTTCCATCCACATTATGGTGTGTGCCTTTACTGCCATTTCATTATTGTACGCCTGTAACAGCTTTTTAATGTACTAGTATTATGTATTTGTTCATTTGAAAAAAATGTTTGCTTTTGTTTTACCTTCATTTTTCTTTCCTTCTGTTTCTTTTGTCATTCTCTGAATCTACATCTTTTCTCTCTTACTTTCTTCCGCAGTACCTTCCCCACAGGGACCTAGGATGTTCCTGTTTCCCAGTTCCCCTACACTCTCTTGTGGTTCCCCACATCTTAAAAAGTCCTGTCTCCTCCTCTCGGAGTCTAGCCTTAACCCTCTTCAGTCTAGCCATGTCAGCCCAGTTGTTCTGAGGAAAAGTGTTTCTTTCACTGAAGAGCTGCTTCTGGCTGCTTCTGGTAGGATAAATCTACAATAGTCTTTTAAAACTGATTTATAAGAAAATAAAAGGAACATTATTGTTAGTCAAGCAGGAGCATCTAACATACAGACTTCTATAACTTGTTTTTTGCTAAAACCACCTCTGGAAATTGTTGGCTACATGACTATTATAGAATGATTATTTCTCCTCCTCTGGAAACTTGTAATAACTGCGAGCTTCCCCCTCTCCTTCCAGTTGTATCAGTATTTGAAATAAATAGCCTACTTTGTCATAAAGAACTCTTCCTGTTTCAAGAAGGTCTCAAATCAGTACTGGTAACTGAACTGCCTGCTATCAGATAACTACCCAATATTTGTATTCTTTTTCAGTCTCTTCAGTATAATGTCATTCCTTTATTTTAGAAGGAATAAATATTCCCCCTTTCTCACCAGTTCATTCCCTTTTTCTGTTTAAATCTCATGAAATGCGATTAATACAATTAATTAATTGTATTCTGTTTCAATCTGACTACACACAAACTTTCTATTTGTGCTATCTCGTTTTTCATTTCATTGACACTGCTCATCAGATTGTCCTTCTAAATTACATATTTGATAGTACTGCTTTTCTACAAATAGTGTTTTAATTGTTTTTGTGGGTTGTTTTTTTTTAAATGTGTTTCATATCAGATATTTCCTTCATTCCATGTCTGTCAGTTTTTAGTATTGTATAGTCCTTTGAAAATGCTGGTTTTCGATTTAATACAAAATAACCTTCAATTTATTATTATTATTTTTTATTGGGACTATACAGATACTCATTTTTCTTTGTTTCCTTATCTAAGAACAGCTAAAAACATTTAATATCCTATAAATAGATAATATTTTAGTCCTGTTAGCATTTGCCATTTTGAAAAGGTTTGGAATAAATTTATTTTATGTTAATACATAAACATGAATATCATTTCCATCCCTCCATGAGTTCGTTTAAACAAAAAATACCCCACCCTGTTTACATTTAAAACAATCTTCCTTGTTTTGCTTTTATTGCATTTTGCAGAAAAGAAGGGAAAGGGAAATTAGCAATGTACTGTTATATTAAAATATTCATTTTTAAATGTTGTCTTCATTCATAGCTATCTGCATTGTGGTGTGTCTTTTATATCATGGTGTGTCTTTTATATCATTTTACCCTTGATACTTAAACTTTTTAGTTTGTCCTTCATTTTTATTAGTGGGTTCATTGATATCTGAGAGAATTTTGAAAGGTATGACTCTTGATACTTATTTTCAGTTAATAATTTAGTTCCAATGAAAGCGTGTGTGGCTATCGTATAAAACATCAGTGCTAGAATGCTTTCATGCATGAAATATCACCAGAAAAAATGGATTCAGCAGAACTCTGCATTTTTTTAAGGAAAAATTGTGTTGTACCCCTTCTTTCCTACTGTCCCTGTCCGTCCATCCCCACCTTGGGTTTTTATGAACTGTCATGCCCCCGCTCCACTCCCACCATTGGGTTTTATGAACATGGAGCAGGAAAGGCCTTCTGACAAGCAAATAAAAGCATTTGTCTATTCTGAATACCCAGAAGTAGTTCCTTGCTGAGCTGAACAATTCAGATGAGTGAACATATTACATAGATTGAAATTAGAATTCAAATCTAAATTATAGTATTTTTTCAATGTTGAATGTTAGTCAATAGAGAGATGTTTCTTATACCTTTGCCTTTACAAAGTTCTCTCTTTGGTCCCAATCCTGTAGTAACTTCATTAGGAGATGTGAACCTTTGTGAAAACTATTGGTTCCTTATGTGATGGGGGGAAAAATATTTATACCCTGTAAATGTTTTAAATTGCATGCAATTATGATTTTGTTTTAACTGCTGATGGAAATAGGAATAGGAAGTAGTATTGCAGAAATGTTGGCTGGTGCCACTTCATAGGGCTACTTCTAATTCGATATCTTTGACTTGGAGGGAATCCTGAAATGCTTATTCATTCTTTATTCATACGAACTGAAACTTTGACTAGAAAGGGACTTATGGACAAGAAAAGTATTACAGGTCAGATCCTATGTCTGTTGCAGTTGATGGCAAAAACTCCTGTGGATAGCAGAGAGGAAAAAGATTTGCAGCTGTGTAAGAGTTGCACTGCCAAGCCCCTTGGACCTTATTTTAATTTGTAGTAGGCTTCTATTTTAAGCCCATTTACACTGTCAAAGTAGGATAAAAAAGGATTTAGTATCAGTGGGAGTAAGGTCCCTAGTTACTGTTTTTGATTTGGTAAACCTGGATTTTTGGTGGCTGACTATGTTAATGAATCATTAAAAAACAAAAACAAAACCCAACAACTCCTCAGGCTATTATGGTCTGTAACTTTTTCTTTGGATGTTATTTATGTTCTAATATTCTTCAGGAATGGGCAGTGGAAGTGCTGGAAAAGAAGGGGGGCCACTTAAAGCACTGTTGAGACAGCAGACCCAATCAGCTCTGGAACAAAGGGTAAGGCATACCTAATGATATTTTGTACTTCAACCATAACTTTTATGAAGAGTAAATCATTCCTGTAAACTAATCTGTTATAAATAGCGGGCTTTGCTTCCCACATTTAAATCCACATTAGCCCGTTTAAGTCAGTATAATCTCACTATAAAAATATATTGCTGACATACGGTGGGAACAAACAAAATTGGAACAAACAATTATGACCTGTCTAACAATTGAATGTTATAGCTTCTGTAATAGAAAATAGAGGAAACAAAATAGAATTTGCTATTAATATAACTCATTGAGTTCATGATGCAGCTATCATCTTATGACTTTGGTAGCTTACAACTAAATTGAATTTTGCCTGAAGACAGATTTGATTTATTCAGAAACATCAAGATATTTTTAAACAAACTGATTAACAGAGAGAAGTCTTGTAGATAAAAAATAGTAACATGACCTAAATAAGACTACATTATATGAAATATGTACTTTATTTTTTGGTTATAAACTTTTATAATAAACTCCCAGGCATTATTAAAATGACTAATAGAGCATATAGAATTACATGGGAGCTTTCTACAGTGTTTGGCAATACTATCAGTTCACTTAATTTTTTATATTTTAAGTTTGAAAATTATAGCCATTGTTAAGTGCATTTTATGTTGTATTGTTAAGATGTTTCTTGTGGCCTTATTAATACATACTGTATTTCAATTATTAAAAATATTTTATAATTTAAAACTATTGATGTATTTAAAAGATAGGGATTTTGAATAATTAACTTTTTGGAAACCAGTTCTCATTTAATAAGACTTTAATAGTTGAATTGGTTACTTGAAACAATATCTGTGCATTGAAAATTATAAAAAATATCTGCTACATCTTTGAAACATAATTTTATATGAATAGCTACTTACCTGAGTAAGTGGATGATTCTCTTCCCATTTTTTGTGTTGTTCATTACTAAGGGAGGATCGCCTCATAGGTTCTGTAGAAGGCGGGTATGTTTCACAACTTTGTGTGACTGTAAGACCTTTTTCCTTTTATTGAGGACTTTTCTGGTTTTAACAGGCATTTAAAATCTTTTCATTTTTATACAGCTTTGTCAAATTTCTTTGCAATCTTGTTCATGTAGGGCTTTGATTTTTTTATTTTTTTTTATTTGAAGAGAATTTAGCAAACCCACATTTTGGCTTAAGTAATATTTTGCATGGTTGTATGCTTCACTTAAATTTTTCATTGCTCATGAAATACAAGTCCATAGCTTTTGCTTCTAATGTTTTAGCTTGAAAATACAGAAACTCTTTAAAAATATGTCATCTGCGTTTATTTGTGCTAGCATGTTAGATTGTTCTTCACTTTAAGATAAATTATGACCCAATTCTCACTTTTTAAAGTTTTTAAGAATAAAGTATATTAAAATGAAAACATAAGCAAATGTAAATGGTACTTCAAGAGTGTCAGCATAAGTTTTTTTTTTAATTATTATTTATTTTGCTAATACAACATTATAATGCCTAATAAAGAAGAACAAAAATGTTGTAAAAGGAGGTGGAAAATGTTTAATGTCAAATTTTATCTTTAGAAAATAGTATGTATAATATTAGTTGAACCATAATTATGATGGAATTTGGCTACATGTAGCTTTGTGTCTTGGAGATGTTTCTAGCTACCGATATTGGTTTTTGGTTTTGAGGAACAGGGAAATAGTAAAATTCTGACCGTGTTAATTAGAGTGGAGTTAAATTTCTTCAGAAAAACATGGGAGAAAATAAAGTTGTTATATACTCTGTTGCCTTCTGTATTGGAAGAGCAAAAGAGTCTTTACAGAGAGCCAGAGCCTCTTAGGAAAAGTTGGTTGTTGTGATATGTTAGTATTAGGTCCTGGAGCATGTTCATTTTAAAAGTGCCATTGGATCTGTTCCCTAGTCCTAACAGTTGTATCTCCTGCCCTGCCACACATGCATGGCAGAAGGTGCGATTCTGGGATCAGAGATCAGGTCCCAATCGCATCCCTTCTAGCTTTTAGTGCAGGGGGAGCCCAGGTTCCCCTTGCATCAGGAAGTTGGAAGCTGGGTGCCTACAGCTCAGCGACAGCTACTGGTCCCATCCCTGTCAGCTGATAGTCAACACCAGCCCTGGGGCAACCCCAGACATGTCACATGGTCACTTTATGGCACCATACAAACCAGCCATACAAATTTCGTACATTTTGTGTGGAACATTTTTATGGCTGGTTAACTATTTTATGGCACCTTAAATTGGGTATGTATGTAGCACCCTTGCCATTTTATGCAAGTAACTTATAGGGACACTTAGGTATGTTATAAAAGTTTTTTTTGATTCCAAACCTAAGGAAAGGTTTGGGGTTTTTTTGGCGGGAGGATAACTTTACTAGAAATTTTGTGAAAATATACGTGAAACTATCATCATCATTTGTATGTAAACATTAATATAAACTTTTATTTTAATATATTTTAATGAACAACAAATTGCATTCATAGTAACAGTTCATTTTATATATATTTTCATCTACAAATATATACTTTGTTCATGTCAATAGGCAATCTTTGGCTAATTTTAACTATGAAGAATCTAGCCTGTATTTTTATAGAGGGGCTAATACTGTCCTCTGCTAAGTTTTATGCATCCCTACTGACTACACCTTAGATAAATGCTGCGGTTTTCATTCTCCTTAATTCAGATTACTTCTCTCATTCCTCTGCTGCTCTTGCTTTATTTAAAAAAAACAGGCCTATTGGATGGTTTCCGTGGCATACAGTTAGAACTGCTTCCTACCATACTTTCTTCATTATGCACAGTTATATGTACACACAGAATCTTAACCAACTATCACTGCATCTCCAGCCTCCCTTTTTTGAGAAGATCATTTGACCTGATAACTACAGGCACATCTGGATGAGATTAGACCCCTGGATCTATTTCAGTCTGGCTTTCATCCTGATCATAGCACAGAAACTTTGCTTGTGGCTTTGGTCAACAGTCTTTGCTTGGCGATCATCAAGGGAAATTGTGCCCTGCTAATCTTGCTAGATCTTTCTGTGGTCTTTGATACAGTTGATCATGAGGTGCTGATAAAGCATTTAGGTAATCTGGTGGGTACTTGTGGGATTGCTTATAATTGGCTCCACCCTTTCCTAGAAGGGAGACAACCCGGGCAAGGTGATGGGTCAGAGCTTTTTGTCCCCTTATGACATTTTTAGGGCTCCATCCAGTCACCACTTCTATTCAGCATACATATGATACTTGCGGGGCAAGCTTGTGCAGAGATTTGGAGTGAAGTGCCATTCCTGTGTTGATGACGCCCAGCTCTGTTCTGTTTTTCTCATCTCATCCTGGCTCTGCAGTCTCTTTCTTATCTCTTTCTCATCTATTCTCATCCCTCCTGCCGCTAGGGGTCTGGGCCTGCTCCCCCCCTTCCCTGCCGCAGCGGTGGGGGGAGAGGAGGAGTGGGCCTGGGCCTGATGTGGAGGGTGTGGGGGAGGAGTGGGTCTGAGGGTTGGGAGAAACCAGTCTGCCATGGCAGTGCAGGGGGGCCACCCCCAGCCCGTCGCCACCTCCAAGAAGCAGGGGGGAGGGGGGTGGCAGGGGCGAGGCCAGTTCCAGTGGTCCCCTCCCCCCCCAACCCCGCTCCATTGTCACTGCCTGCCGGGCAGGGGGGGGCAAGGCCAGCGCTGCTGGCCTCCCCCCTCCCCTGCCTTTCGGTCTGCTCTGTTGCCGCTGGCTGTTTGAGTCAGCCACTTGGAGCGTGAATAAAGCATTATGGACAGACAGACAGGCAGTTTAAGGCTTTTATAATATTAGAATTATAGGGGAGAAAAAGGGTCAAAAAGTATCATGAAGGAAATTTGGGCGAACCATAAATCAGCATTGGAAGAATGGAATGTTTCCTCTTTCAGCTCGGATCCCATGGATGGAGCATCAGTACTGAGCAGGTTGTAGTTATAGCTGCCTGGCTAATTTGCTTTACCTTTCTCTGCCTTCCTTCAAAATAGTTTTGTGATCAAGTGGATCCCAGGTTTCACACCCATTTTGTGTACCGTGACACTGACTGGTCCACAAATTCCTCTCTGCTTTTGTGGAAAGAGCATGCATGTTTGTAGAGTCCCTTTGTGTAATCACTCTCCTTTCCAGTCCTCCAGAAAGCAGAAATATAACATTTCTGTTGTTTTTTTGCTCCTCTTTAGTAACCTTGGTAATTCCAGGATTTGACTCTTAATCTTGACATTTTGGATGTCCATTGATGTCAAAGGAAAAACATTTAGTGTTTTTAGTGGACTTTATATCCGTCATTATAAAATCGGGGATTTTACACGTTTAGTTTCTCTAAGACATTTTATGTCAGATATTGCCAGAGGAATCTTGATGATTTATCTTTAACCTTTACCTTGGTTATCTGTAAATTAATCTGAATGCTAAATTGAGGCAAGTACTTTAAAGTACTTTAAAGTACTTGCCTCACTGATTTTTTCCCCCTCATATAAAACTATTATAGCTATTTTCCCCCTCCTCCCTAACTAGCCTTCAGAACTATGTAAAACATTGTTGCATGATTTCCATTTTTTCTTGCTCTCTGCATTTAGAATTGGCAAATGTAAACCAATCTCCTTTTCCCCCATAAGTATGCTATACTTAATGTACATGACTATGAAATTATCAATCTAATGTACGTAACTATAAAACAAAATTAGATCATTTGGGGCCCATTTCATTTGAATGTAAGTGATTTATTTTCAGCAAATACATCATTAAAGGCTCTGATAGGCCTTTATTTAGTTTGTGTATTTTGGACTGTTTTCTTGAATAAAATGGTTAAAAACAGAATGTTGCTTTTCCACTTTTGCTAGATTGGGGGGGAATGCATTTAAGAAACTGATAGCATCATAGTGACTTTCTTTTAATATTGTTCTAATAATTGTATTTAAAATCGTACAATTTTAATCTAGAAAATGGGTAAATAATTTTTTATTGAGAGCTATTGGTGCTGGCAGATCATTTCTTTGGCTCTTATATCCAAGACATTTTTCATGCTTGCTGGAATAAAAATAAGGTATACTCAAAACTTGGATATCAAACTACCATCACTTGTAGCTACCAGTATTAGAAAGTGCAGAGCCATAAGTAAGTTTAATGATCAATTCAGAAAATAAATAATGCTTTCCTTTTCTTAGTTACCCTTTTAAAAAGCATATTGGCTGACATAGACTTGCATTTGCATAAGGATATTAATTCACAACTGAAATTTGTTAAACATTGAATTTAACAAAGCCTATGGGGGAAAAGCACTTGTATGTCTTAGAAAACTTGCTAGCACTGTCTAGTGTTGGGTACATGGATTGCATATGATTGATACAGTGCATAGTAAGCTTAAAATAAGTATTTGACTTAGTGTCACTGCTTTGCCTGTCTTTCAGGAAGCATCATAATCTATTGCATGTTGATTGGCAATCAACAGTGCTTAACAGATGATAACTCTTTGGATTTTTCTTTTTCCTTTTTTAATTCCAACAGGAATTTCCCTTTTTTACCTTGACGTCCTTTCCACCAGGGTTCCTTGTCCATGTTGGTGGTGTTGTCAGTGCACGCTCTGTAAAGTTGCTGGATCGCATCCATAATCCTGGTATGTTGGCAAAATATATCTTCCGTGTATCATGTCATATCTTCATTGCTTTACATTTTGTTCAAAATATTTTTTTAAAACCTTGTAGTACAATTATTGTAGTTTTTAAAGTAAGAATAACAGTGTCAAAAATTGCTTGTTCAGAAATGGTACACTTCAGTAATTTCTTCTTAATGATTTGGGTGTAAAGTAGTAAAGGACTGTTAACCCACTAATCTAATGCCAGCTAATACCTTTGGATTATGAGTGTGTGGGTTAATTTTTGGCCAGCGTTTAATATTCAAATTGTGCAAGTTTGAGGTTAAAGTTATGAAAGGAAATAAAACCCTCTGTTTAACATTTTAAATTTTAATTTCCAGCTGTTTTACACCCTTAAAGATTAAGATTAGCTATTATGATTTAGCTCAGCCTGTGCCTTTTAAAAATGACATGGTATACATTGGAACAAAGTTGACGGTATTTTTATAACAAGTACAAATCTTAACACAATTTTGTGTAAATAATCTTTTTCCTGGGAATGGAAGGTTTATGCTTGATGCCTTTTTGGTAGGGGAGTGGGGAAGGGAGGAGGTCATATCCTAATTCTGATATCAAAGTTAAGCAGTGATAGACTATACATTGAGAAAGTCTTAACAACCACTCAGTCAAATTGAAGTGTGTACCAAAATGCTACCTACAAAGTTTGAGTTTGTAAGTGCTCCTGAAACAGCGGCAGATTAAAGAGAAATTATATCTATTGTGGCTTTTGCATACACTAGCCAGGAGCAGCAGGATACAAAGTTTGTTTAAATATATCTTTCTTTTTAAGCAGTAGTCTGTTTTGTCCTTTGCATTTTCTCTTGTTACCTCTCTTTCTGCAAACTGAATTAAACAATTTCTTCATTAAATTGGTTAAAGATGCAGTTAAATGTGACAGTAAGGGTGCAGCCAGGCATAACACTTGAACCATTCTGAGAATGTCACTCATTGGGAACCAGTTCACAATTGTCTGGATTTTAGTGGCGGCACATACACTGCCAAGAGTTCCAAGTAGAACAGTCAACTTTTAGGAATGTAGTGCTTTCAAGCTGCTACCAGGGGGTAGCACTGAGCCCAGTAAGCCTCATAGTGAGCACCCAACTCAGTATGCCTCCTAGTGGCAAGTGCCCCAGTATTCTCCAAGCAGGAGAGGAAGATCTGCAATTGCAGTTTTCTGATCCCCCTTCTCACTAGCACTGAGTTCAATAAAGACAATTTCTACACATTACAACATCTGTGCAATGGTGCCTGGATTGGGGGTGCCCACTTGTGTGTGCGGGCCAAAGGGAGGGAATAGTTAGGTGGGTACAGGTAGTACACTTGCTTTGTAATTCCGGGAGCTGGGTGCTCTGGAACTGGCAGGGCTTTTATGGGTTTTAAAAAGCACTTTCCCCCAAGCCAGTCATAAATATACTTCATTTCCTGGCAATGTGGCAAGGTTCAGTGCATCAGAAGTTGATTTGGGGTTGAAAGAGTGGCCATTTGGTGTTTAGTAGTTGGGAGGGCTGCCTGGATACCTGCTTCTGCCTTCCTGTGGTGCTGGGTGTCTGGGGGGCTGCCTGTAGGTTTTCATGCCAACTGTGAGGCATGGACTGAAATTGACCAGTGGCTTGGGGAAAAGTCCTTTAAAAAACTTCAGAGACTCCCTGGAATGCATAAGCAGGGGTGCCTCGTCGTTAATCCTGCCAGCCTCCCCTCTTCCCCCCCCCGCCTTCCAGTCCACATCAGTCTGGGATTCCCTGAAGTTTGGTTAGTTGCCATCAGTGGAATGAAACTGATAAACAGTTTGGGGAAAGTGTTTTTTAAAAGTTGTGGAGATACTGGGGAGCCCCCTTGAGCACCCAACACACCATGAACCCAGAAGCAGGGGTACCCCTTCTATCTACCTGGCCATTCTCTCAACCCTGATTAGCCTGGATTGTAAGGACTGAGTCAAGTGCAGCTATTATAGGTTGTGGCAGTAGGGTTCAGGCTGTGTACCAAAGTAGACAGTTTTTGTTTTGGGGAGCTGGAGGAGGAGGCAGGAGTGAGAAGTGGTGCAATGTGGGATGCCTTTTTGGTGGCAGATGCTAGTTATGGAAAGCTCAGTGTCTGACCATGACATCGGTTCAAAATAATACTTGGTTATCTAACAATACTTTTCAAAAGTTCCAGGAAGTTTAAGCAGTTCTAAATTAGCTTACATATATGGGCAATTGCACTTTAAACTAGACGTGCCACTGATAGATTGATCCAATTTCCAATTGGCACCAATATAAAGAAAATTGACTGTATCAGAAATTAGCTTGATGTGGCCAATAATTTGGCTGATAAATGCCTGTGCATGCGTGCAGCTGCAGCACAGCACGTAGGCAGTGAGGAGCACAGCCTGGCAGCTTGGAGAGCAGCATCCAGCTAGTAAGTCTGTTGTGGTGGAACGGGGGGAAAGCGGGGGTGCAGATTAAGCGCCCTGCGATGAGGGAGGCGTGGAGCTGAGGCAGGCGCTGCCCAGATGGGGCAAAGCATGGGATGGAGCTGTGGCTTGTCCAAGGGGAGCGGGGTGGGGTGGGCGGCTCCCACTGCTGCACTCACCCTGGGAGGGCATGGGGAGTGGGGGGTGTGCCCCATGATCTGTGTGAGGTAGGGCAGTGCTGGCTGCAGCTACAGTTGCAGGCTGGGGCTGGGGATGGCACCAGGCTCTTCCTGGCAGGGGCTGGGCTGGGCTGCGCTCTGGGTGGGCGGCGGCGGTTCTGGGAGGGGGAGTTATGGTGGGGCTATGGCAAATTTTGGGGTGGCTGCAGCCCCCTTCCCCTGTAGTCCCCCTCACAGCACCACTACCGGCCCCCCCCACGCCCTCTTGCAGTGCATGCAGTGGCAAGAGCTGGCCCCCTCCCTTCCTGTGCCCCCTGGAAGAGCCACAGCTCCATCCCACTGCCCACCCTGTCCCGGCTGGGCAGCACATGCCCCAGCCCCAACCCCACTCTTCCGTCACCACAAGTGCCTTGATCTGTAACCCCACACCTTTCTTCCCCCTCCCCTTCCACCACAGACTTACCAGCTTGACACAGCTCTTCAAGCTGCTGGACTGCGTATTGGAAATCAGATCGGTATTGCCAATATGCCACCTTAAAAATCGGCTATCAGTATCAGCCCCCAAAACCTCTATTGGTGCACCCCTACGTCAAACCACTTTTAAAACAATCTAAGCGTTATGTCTTTCTGCACCCTAAAATGTCAGGTCAGGTACATTTTAGAAAATATGCTTGTTAATTTCCGTGGTTTTTGTTTGCTCCTGTTCATATAGTAGAAAGAGAGGGGAAAAAATCTAAAAACTTTCAGACAAATGTACTCTTTTTTACATTTTTTTCTTCACTTGTTATTTAAGTATTTTCCACGAATGTGACTTACTCATAAACCCTTGATTTTTTTTTTTTTTTTTTTTTTTTTTTTTTTACAGTATGATTTTTTTGGCATAATTTCTTGTATTGTGCCCTTTTTACCGTTTTACTAACTTTTGATAAGAGATTATGAAAGCAAAACATAAAGGGAGAATGTACATGCATATGCTTATTAAAAAGTGTCTGTATTTTGCACACTGAAATGGCTTTCAGGCTCTTAGACCATATTTTGTAGAATTTTTAGATTGCTCCTGACAAGTGAATGTAAGATGCATGATGCCTCAAATTCAGTATATTGCAAAAATCAATTAATCTTTAAAAAAGAAAAGAAAGTAATTCAACATTTATGAATCCCCAAACCTTAATCATAACTAGCATTTTAATAAGCAGTTAAGTCAAATATTTCTGTAATATGCAGTACTATCAAAGGAAACGCATAAACTGGCAAAGAAATAAATGTTCAAAGGGAAAAGGCATTTAAAGGGGTTGTTTAACTTTAAAACAAAAATCTGGTAATTGCTATATACTTTTCACTTGATCACGCTTAGTCCTAGATTGCTACAGCATGCCTCCTTACTTTCTTCCCTTTCTATTTCAACCTCTTATTAACTCTACTGTCTGTGTCTTTCCAGTTCCTGTGGAGTGGTGTTGTCAATTGTGTTCTTGTTGGTAGTGGGTTTTTTTTTTCACTATTCTGCTCCTATACTGATCTACTAATTTGCTGTTTTGAACTCAGCCTTTGTCGGAATTATGGGTAACACAAGATCATACAAACTGCTAGACTGGAATAGTTTCAATTCAGGTATTTTACTAGTCATTCAGTACTACATATGCTGACAGAAATTATGGCAGCTCAGTGAAGTTCTTAGAAATGTTTTAGGTCATTAATGAGGTTAATATTGCAAATTTAAATCTTTTTAACCAGGAAATACGTCTATCTTAATTGTCTTTTAAAAAATTGTCTTTGTTTAGTGAAAATTCACAATGTTGTATTTATAAAATAGTACTGCTAAAATCTTTACCAACTCGGAATGTTTTTATTCAGTTGGATTTAATAGTTTTAAATTCAGTATTGATTAAAATATAAGCAATGATTTAGGGAATGTTTTCATGTCTATGCAATCACATCAGACCTAATCTTGCGTGAGCCTGCACTTTTTTCCAAAATGGATCTTTTACTGACTCCAGATATTGGATGAACCTGGTTACTCAAAAGAGTTTTTAAAAAGTAGTTTAAATTAGCAAGTTTGTTCTCAAAATCTAAGGGTTAGAATGTGCATCTGTTGATTAGCCTTGTAATGTAAACCTGTTAGGATTTTGAAGACCACACTTAATTGTTTGAATTTTTAATAATTCCAAATAGAATTATTCCAAGTAAGAAGTGTTATTTCTTCTAAATCACATAATCAGATTCTGGCAAATCTGTACTCAAGTGCACAGTAGAAAGAGGAGTGCAGGATTAGGAGGTTTCATGCATGGTCTGTATAAGGGTCAGGGAGTGTCTGTTTTAGGGAAAGCGCAGGGGCTACATGTTTCCTGTATCTATGAAGATATACTAAGTCCCTCATGGCCACCCGAGCCACAGGAAGGTAGGCCCCAGTCTGT